GATTAATTGCGATTAATCGCATCCAAAATAAAAGTTTTTGTTTACATAATAGATGAGTGTGTACTGTGTATATTTATTATGTATAATACAAACACATGCATGTATATATTTAAGAAAAATATGTTATGTTTATATATTAAATATATTTATATATAATATAAAATATAAGAATATAAATATATAAATATATATACATGTACATATTTTCAAAATATATACTGTATGAGTGGGTATTTATATATACATAATAAATAAACACAGTACACATACATATTATGTAAACAACAACTTTTATTTTGGATGCTATTAATCGTGATTAATCGTTTGACAGCACTAAAATATATTATATATATAAATATAAAACTATGTTCATAAAGTATAAAAAATTCTTTATTTTATTGAAATAATCATATTTTCAGAATCAGTTAGAATCAGCATAAATCTGTCCATTGTAAAAACTATAAATTTTTTTCAGTATGAACAGAGTTCAAATATGGCTAGCTGTGAAACCAGCACTATTCAGCTTTCTCAAAAAATTTATGAGATTGAAAGAAATGGGATTCATTGATGAGAAATATATAAATCTGGTTGTTGTGTATTCAACACATTTGGTTTATTAGTACAATACCAGAAGTCTTGCCTGTTTCTTTTATGTGTGACTGACAAATATACAGTTATTTTAAAATGGTATAATTCAAATGGATGGACATTTTGTATTCAAATACATGCATCTTAAATATTTAGGCCGGATGTAGATATAATATAATTACAATATCAGACCATACTTTCTTTTTTTTTTTACAAACACATACTGTACATAGTACAGATATTTTGTTTCCTACGCTGCCATTTACTCTTGTTGTTTGCATGACTTTCTTTGTGCTTGATGTCTTTCAGATTTACTATCATGGTGAACCAATCAGTGTCAACGTCCATGTCACAAACAACACAAACAAGACAGTAAAAAAAATCAAGATTTCAGGTTATTCAGTTATTCACAGTGGACAGACTTTGTATTTACACTAGTGTATAGTTTAGAAAAAATAACACTTATTTGTATTATTGTAGTGCGTCAATATGCTGATATCTGCCTCTTCAACACTGCCCAGTACAAGTGTCCAGTGGCGACAGAGGAATCAGAGTAAGTTCTCTGCAAACTGGACACTCAGCTACCGTATGAGAACACAAGCTGACATCTGAATAATTGCTCTCTGCTTTGTGTCGTGTTCTAGTGATATTGTGGCCCCCAGTGCTACATTTTGTAAAGTATACACTCTCACGCCTTTCCTTGTGAATAACCGAGAGAAACGCGGCTTGGCTCTGGATGGCAAACTCAAACATGAAGACACAAATTTAGCCTCAAGTACATTGTAAGTACAGTCTCTCATTTGAAAGTGGATTGTGTTTCTTGTAATTCACCTTTCCATGGCATTTTTTCTCAAAAGGTTAAGAGAGGGAGCCAATAAGGAAATTCTGGGCATCATTGTTTCTTATAAGGTGAAAGTGAAGCTTGTGGTGTCTCGTGGAGGGTAAGTGCATTTTGGTCATTCTGTGTGGTAGTGATGCTGGAATAAACTTTACAATAAGATTAAAGGGGTCATATGATGTTGCCAAAAAGAACATTATTTTGTGTATTTGGTGTAATGAAATGTGTTTATGCGGTTTAAGGTTAAAAAAACACATTATTTTCCACATACTGTACATTATTGTTTCTCCTCTATGCCCCGCCTTTCTGAAACGCGTCGATTTTTACAAAGCTCATCGTTCTGAAAAGCGAGGTGTGCTGTGATTGGCCAGCTATCCAGTGTGTTGTGATTGGCCGAATACCTCAAGCGTGTGACGGAAATGTTACGCCCCTACCATATTGTGATGCCTTGTCCAGCCGGAGCGACGAGACAAAAACATTAAAACCCATTATAAACGAGGCATTTGTTGCATCTAGTGGGGACATAATTACGGATTATAATGACTTATACTGTCTTTTTACGCGTTGCATTGCATCGCGCCGCGTAAACATAAACCCATGTCTGCATTTGTGATCGGAGAAATGACAAACAACAAGTGCTACTGTACACTGCCCAAAAACTCGCGTTTGAATCATCAGTGGCAGATTCTTTAAATATGAAAAACGTACTTACAGTCTGTGAGTCAGAACAGCCAGCATTGTAGTCTACTCGACCAGGATCAGGAAACGGTCCTCCATAAAATGCGCTGGACACATCTGAATATTGGGGTTAAACTGTTCTGCAACAGTGTTGTAAATACAACTTAACCACTGATTTCTAGTCGTGACCTCTTTTGGAAGGCCAAACAAAGTTGTTTCGCTTTCACAACGAAACAGCGTCACACATGCCTTGAGTGAGCGGAGGCTGGAGGCCTAGAGTGAGCCGCGGCCTAGAGTATGCGGAGGCCGGCTTGAGTGAGCGGAGGCCGGTGGGCTTGCGGCAACCACATGTGCCGATCCCGGGCTGGACTCCACTTCGTCTACGGTGAAAGCCGATCCGGTGATCCACAGCGTGAAGTTGATGTATTTCCTCAGCGACCAGCATGGATCAGCTCCAGGCATGACGAAGCAGATATCGTCCTCTTTTGGAAGACCAAACAAAGTAGTTTCGCTTTCACAACGAAGCACACAGCGCCTTCACGACATGGCAGCAGCAACAATACTACAGTGAGAATAAAAGTTACGCCTTCGTTCTTTGCATGAACATTTGGGCGGCGTTATGCAAATCTTCCCACATCGTGACGTAGGTATGTGGGGCCGTGTTAGAACGAGGCGTTTTAGGTAGGTGTGGTTGACTCTAAACTTTTATAAAGAATATCTCTTTGGATTTGAGACTTTAGTCTTTGCAACTTTACAGATCTTCTTTATGCACCAAGAGCTTGTAACACTCCAAATAGAAAGGAAAAATTTTAATCGCATCATATGAACCCTTTAAACAACCGCCCTACTCCTGATAGCACATACGCATTTGCAACACTTTCTCCCTCCCAACTTTTCACATACTGATGCCTGGTCAGGACCCCTTGGCATCACTTTTTAACGCACGCTCCATTGCTTTTAGTTGTTTGCCTTATGCATCAGATCAAGACACATTTAATTCTTTGCATGCATTTGTAAAAACAGAAATGATTTTATTTACTTTTCTTTCACAGATATTTTGAGCACCTATTCCTAAACCTACCTACTTCTCAACAATATAGAACGCGTAACAGGCAAATAAAAGTACAGTCACAAGTATTTACTGCAAAAACTGACCAAAAATCTGCAATCTATGTATCAAGAGCAGCGCAAATTACTGCCTGCTTTAAGACATGCTTTTTTGGGGGTTAAATAATGGCACAAATAGCAGTAATTTGACGAGCACAAATGTTAGTATATCGCGTTGCGTGATTAATTTGAATACTCTCCTCCCATAAATTTTGCGTCTGAAAGGGAAACTCCTACTAATGCATATTCAATAAGGTCAGGCGCAAACATAACTGTGTCCACGCCTTTTCAGTGCTAATTCTTCACTGTGCGTCTTTAGTAAATCCTGACAGTACTATTTTAACGCTAAAAGACGGTTTGCGCTGGCGCAAGCTGTTATTAAATCTGGTCCTAAGTCTTCTGAAGCCATACAAAATCTTTTGTGAAGAACAAAATGAAACATAAGGTTTTAATCACTGAAAGTGATCCCGCTCCGTTAACATCCGAACTTTAGCATGACGCAATTAGTCACGAGACACACAAAGAGCCAATGGCATTTCACAACCAAAGCTGCTGATGTAACGTTTTTTCTGATAGCAATTTTGTGCTGTATGGTGGATGATGGAGATGATGATTGCCTCTGTTCCTCACACAAATAAATCATTTAGCCTTGGAAGACTTGGAATAATTGTGACTGTAGTTGTGTCTGCCTGTTATATCTTGTATTTTAGATTGACAAGTGTTTAGGTTTAGGGGTTGCGTGCTCATAAATGTCTAAATAGTGTAATACAATGTAAATAAAATTGCTGTGGCTGTTTAAATTGAAAATCATACCCCAACAATTATAAGCCAATATACAATGTCATCATGATAGAATTCTCATGCCCTTTGCATCTGCATATTGACGACAAAAGTTTACCCCGCACATTGAAAAATTAACGCTAATCCTGTGCGTTAAAATGGTTCCTGACCAAGTGTCAATATGACGAGTTGGAAGTGAGAATGTGTTGGCATTTGTGATATAGACATGAAATCTAAACTTGTTGAGGAGAGTTGTGGTATCACTTTTCTCAGTAATTTAACTTTATGTATGGTGGACAATACATTTGACAAAAACCCTAGCAACTGCATAGCAACATGCTAGGAATATCCACAACTCCCTGACTTTGTAGTGGTGAGTTTAGCAAGAGCAAGGACCATTCACAAAAATGTAGTTATCATTATAACGGGTTAAAAAGGGAATTTTTAGAATGCATGACCCAAAAACCTGCACAAATGTATTAACAATTCAGTTGTTTTCTTAAAAGAAAAGATTCTAGGTTTATCTTTGTTTTCATTGTAATGAAAGAGTTTTATTATACACAAATATTTCAATGTTTCAACAGTGTTAAGTTGTTGACTTCCCATGTACAATAAATTAAATCAAAAATGTAATTCAATATAACTAATTATATGTTTGGTAATGTTAGAAATTTTAAACATATTTGTTTATGTAATGAGACAGGTACCAGCCAAAAATGTGGACACAAATGAGCTTTCTGATTCATTCTGGTGTGCATGATATGTAGTTTATATAATATATATCTATCTATCTATATATAATAAACTACATGTCATGCACACCAGAATGAATCAGAAAGCTCATTTGTGTCCACATTTGTGGCTGGTACCTGTCTTGGAATGAATAAAGGGGTCAAATCTATCCATTTAGCCACCTATCTATATTTATAAAAAAAAAAAATAAAAAAAATAAAAAAAAAATATATATATATATATACTG